CACTTCAATGTTAGGATGATCTCATGGAATAGATGTCTAAACAGTCTTTGGAAAGATGGGTGCCCTGCAAGCTTAGGGGGTTTATTTTGGTTTGGTCTGGCTGTTTTTTATCAACTCTAAGGACCATCTTTATAAGTAGCTCAGACTTAGATGTCTGAAATTAGACAAGAATTTTGTTAGAGCTGAATCTGTCTTTGTTTTGTTGGACTATGTGGAAAAATCAACCTTTAACTCAGCTGGTAGAAAGTGGAAACACATTGTAGGCTCTCATATCAGCCTCTTTTCTTCCAGCAGCAGCACTTCTTTGATGATGAGGACAGAACAGTTCCAAGCACACCAACTCTTGTAGTTCCACATCGGACTGATGGATTTGCAGAAGCCATTCAGTAAGTAGATTAAATTTAAAAAAAAGGCTTTTCTTTATTCTGTTTTTCATTGGAATAAAAATAAATTCAAATTAAATGAACTTGTGATTTGCTAAAACATGCTAATAGTATGATAGAAAGTCATTGTTTGGATTGTGTGTCATAAAACTGATCATCATATTAGGAGGTGGATAATCTCCAGCATATTAAGTGTATCAAATCAGTAATTGACTGACTTAAGAAGAGATTAAACAAACTAAAAGAAAGTTCCATCTAATTTCCTTCCTCACTCTTCCCCCTCCCCATTAATGTTACTAATAAAAGTAGGAAAAGTTACCTCCATTTTTGATTTTGGGATGTTCTGGACACATTCAGGAATCCAGTTAAAATTGTGAGACTTTCTAGGATGGATATGTAAAAAATATTCTCTTCAGAACTGTTCTGCTGATTTTGAATGCATTCCAAATAATTTCAGAAGCTGATGATTGTTATTCTTTTAGCAGTAGTTAAGCTGGTTTTTATGGGCAGGAGGAATTCATTTTCTCTCATGCATAATTTGCTCTCTTGGTTTAGTCAGAAAGTTGTCTTCTCCTCTGCCCTGATCACTGGGGAAGTTGCAGAATTCCTTCTGTCTTTTTTTTGGCAGTTCCCCCCAGGTGGCTGGAGTTCCTCGGTTCAGGTTTGGACCCCCTGAAGATATGCCCCAAACCAGCTCCAGTCACTCGGATCTGGGTCAGCTTGCATCCCAAGGAGGTAAACCAGCTCTGGGCTTCCTTTTCCATGGATCTTGGAGGGGAAAAGATATAATTCAGTCAAAAAACCCACAGTTCTACCTCGGGAAATTGTTCAAGTGTGGAAACCTGCAACTCTTAAATAATTGTCAGCAGAGGGAGACTTAACAGGAAGTGAAAAGGAGTTTCCTTCAAGCTGCAAAATTTCTACTTGTATTATGATTTTAAAATGAAATGAAATATTGAAGGAATGGGCTTTAACTTTAATTTTGGTTGTAGCTTTCCTGTACTAAAAGAACAGAGGGAAACAGCAAAAGCAAAGAAATCTTTGGGACATATCCTCACCTGCTGAAAAGTGTCCAGGCAATGTGTCTCTGCTGTCCTTGTTGTCCTGATTCAGTCCCTTTCCCCTGTTCCTGTTGACATGGCACATACGCTGCTCCCTGAAGAAAACTCATACAAAGTAATGGCATAAGAACAGGATGAAAGTAAAAAAAACAAGCAGTAATATTTTCCTCAAGGTTTTGCCTTTCCATAAAATATAATCAGCTCTGACATTAAGCCAATAAAACTTTAAAATCTCGATATGTAAGGACGAATTGCTGGATTTTATCAGCTGTACGGGGGAAGACGTCAATTCATCTGGGTTTTAGCTGGTTGTTTTGATGATTGTCACTCACCCCCTGTGTTGCAGGTTTAGGAATGTATGAAACCCCACTGTTCCTTGCTCATGAGGAGGAGTCTGGGGGTCGGAGCGTCCCCACAACCCCCTTACAAGTAGCAGCACCAGGTGAGTGGCAGGAGGTTTGCAGACCCCAGGAAAGGCTACAAGCCTTGACTGCCCAGCAAATAATGCAGTTCCAGTAGTCCTTGCCCTGCCCTGCCAGTGTTCCCGTGGGTTGTGAGCAGGGGGGATGTCTGCCAGGCTGTGTGCAGGGCAGGGCTCTGCCAGGCTGTGTGCAGGGCAGGGCTCTGCCAGGCTGTGTGCAGGGCAGGGCTCTGCCAGGCTGTGTGCAGGGGGGATGTCTGCCAGGCTGTGTGCAGGGGAGGGGTCTGCCAGGCTGTGTGCAGGGTGGGACAGGCTGTGTGCAGGGGGAATGTCTGCCAGGCTGTGTGCAGGGCAGGGCTCTGACAGGCTGTGTCTCCCCGAGCAGTGACAGTGTTCACAGAGAGCGCCTCGGCCGACGCGTCGGAACATGCGTCCCAGTCCGTGCCCATGGTCACCACGTCCACTGGCAGCCTGTCCACCACCACGGAGCCTGGCACTGCAGATGATGGGGATGAAGTGTTTGCAGAGGCAGAATCTGAAGGGTAAGCTACAACTCATTTGGTTCACCAGCACTTATGACATGTCTGTGGTAATGATTTGCTTTCATCCCAGTGCCTGTGGGTCACTGTCAGTTTAACCTGTTCTGGTAAGAAGGGCAGCTCAAGCAGCATTCAGTAATCTCTGAAGCAGTAGAATTTGACCTTTTCATCCAAAACTAAAGGTTTTCTTATGATTTTCTCCTGATTTAACAAAGCTCATATAGAAGTCACAAAAAAATAAAATTAAAAAAATATATTTCTGTATTTTTTTAAGAATGCAGAAGAATCTGCAGTGGTCAAAACTGATGGTAATCGCTAAGTTGAAGGATCAGGGTTTGCTGAACAAAGGTTAAAGCATTCCTGTATAATATAGAAAATCACTCCTCATTCAAAGCACAGATGTATAATGAAGTCAGTTAAGACAGTGCAGGTACAAAAGATGTAGCAATGGGGGGAATACAAATTTCGTAGACAGATGATTTTGTCTTCCATTTTATGAGTGCAGTTTTTAATATTTCCAGTAACTGCTGTATTTTTTATTATGATCAAATGCATTACAGATCTAAGAGGGGAGGGACAGTTTCTCATTTTATGCCATATTTTACTTTTGATTTTCATTGAATCTTTGTGTTCCAAGACAATACTATTTTACCCCAAGACAGTACCTTTTTTTTACTGAGCGTTTTGAAACTCTGTGAATACACTTGCATGGTTTTCCTCCCCTTCCTTCTCTCCTAGAATTACTTCAGAAGCAGGTTTAGAAATTGATAGCCAGCAAGAAGAAGAATCTGTTCAAGCATCTGATGAGTCAGATCTTCCTTCAACTAGTCAGGATCCTCCTTCGAGTTCATCTGCAGGTACAGAATAATTGTTGGGAAGAGCTGTTTTTTTCTAAGTGTGGGAACCTCTCTGTGCAGCAGCGCAGCTGGTAGCCGAGATACACAAAGGAAGATAGAGCTCTTGGAATCACAGGCTCCTGGAATGATTGGGGTTGGAAGGGATCTGAAAGCCCCTCCAGTTCCCATGGGCAGGGACAACTTCCGTTGGACCAGGTTGCTCCAAGGACACTTCCAGGGATCCAGGGGCAGCCACAGCTTCTCTGGGCACCCTGTGGAAGTGGGAAGCCAGACCCCCTGTCCCTCCAGGCCCTTGTCCAGGGTCCCTCTCCAGCTCTCCTGGAGCCCCTTTAGGCACTGGAAGGAGCTGTAAGGTCTCCCTGAATTCTCTTAGAGCAGGATCATGCTTTGGTGATATAAACTGTGTACTTTGGCAAAGCACTTTTCCCTGGACCGCAGTACCTGGAGTCGGCCAAGTAAGAATAATGCTTCAGGGAGCAGAAGTTACTGGTACTTTGCTGATTTATCCACTGCTGTGTTTGATGTCAGCTTTAAAACTAATTTTCCTTCAATTAAAAAAATAAAGTAAATGATGGAGTTACCAATTTACCCCCTAGCACGGGTAACAAAAGAAGTCTAAAACTTACTTGTCTTCATGCTTTTATTTATATCGGAGGACGTGTCAATGAAATAAAGAGGCGACTTCATAATTCTGAAGTAAATTAGAGAGCATAGCTCCTCTCAAACCCTTTCTGCATCCCCCCCTCTCCACAGACACGAGCAGCACCCAGCCCAAGTCCCTGCGCCGTGTGCGGCTGCAGCCCCCCACGCTGAGGACGGGGGTCCGTGGGCGCCAGTTCAACAGGCAGAGGGGTAAGTGCCTCTGGGGCCCCGAGCCACAGGCTTTTAGGGCTTCCTTGCTGTGGAACCATCTGCAGCACTGCTTTCTGGGCTGCGGTTGTGAGACACGGAACCACGCCCTGCCCTGGGTTCTGGGACGGGACCCTCAGAGCTCTCGTTTGCTTTGAATGTCTGGGCAGTTTTTAGACAGGCAAACCTTCTTCTCTGGCATTTGGTACTTAGCAGTGGAGAGAAAGGAAAGGACAAACTTGCAGGTGTTCAGAGAAGGTTTCAAAAATCGTGTTAGGACAGAAGTCTGGAAATCTTTGGGTTTAGTTACAGAGCAGTTTCCATTTGTACATTAAGAGCTCCAGTTATGACCTCACTGTGTCCTATACTGATTAAAAACAAAGTTTCTGGAAGTATTAAGGATTTTTGTAGTGCAAAATAGAGCTCAACCACAACAACACATTCTTATTTGCAACTTCTGTATTAAGAAAATCCTTAGATGAATTGCATTCCATTTGTCATTTTAACATTGGAGAAGACTCAAATTTAGCATTAAAATATAGTTTAGCTGGTATTTTAAAGGGAAAAAAGTGAGGAGGTGGGCCTAGGATAGATTTTCTTTTATCTGTCACCATAATTTTAATAACAACACCAACGCTAGCTGATTTCAGGTGTGCTAAGAATGCTCTGCTGGTTCTTTCAGCACCCAGCACAGGATAGTCACACCCCCCGCCCCCCTTTTACATGACAAAGTGACATGTGTGTCACCAGGCTCAGGGGAGAGAGGGGGACTTGAAGTCAGTCAGAAAGGATCTGCTGCTCTGCAGTGGCAATTCCTTAGGGAAGGATGAATTGTCACAATGGCTCATTAACTATAAATCCTGTCATTCCTTTAATGTATTTGTTTTCACTTTCTTTCCCAACACAGGTGTAACCCACGCCATGGGAGGCAGAGGAGGCCTGAACAGAGGAAACATTAGTTAAATGACCTGTAAAGTAATTCCAGATGTGTATACAAAGTGCCAGTTTGCCTGTGGTTGCTTTAGTGTAATGAAGCCAGAGCTTAAAGCAGCATTTCATACTTAGAGTTGTGTGCACACATTTCATTGTCTTTTATTAATAAAATTAGAAAAAATGTTGACATTCAAATGGCATCTCTCTTTTAAAATCCTCTGCTGTGCATCACTTGCTGGGACAGTTGTACCAGTCTTTGGATACAGTCTTTCCTGTGAGAGCAGTAACAGGCCTTGCTATTCTTTTGCTGATATCCAAACTGTAGTACCGATCTGGAAGGAAGAGAGGTCAGGATTAAATTCCAGAAACTACACTTAATACATGGAAAGAATCCAGAAATTAAAGCCTGCATTTTAATGGCATTTAGGCCTGAATAACAGATTTTTCATGCCACATGCATGTATGGAGTGGGGAGGCTCTAACAATAAACTTGTGCCCTCAGCTTTATTTTGTACAAGTCCTTGGTTGTGTTGAGCTTTACAGTACTGCTAATAATTAAGTCTGGCCCAAGAACAGGAGTAGGGAAGAATGCTTTTGTACTGGTTGAACACAGAAATAGTCTCAAGAATTTGGAAATCAAACAAGCTAAAAACAAAACAATCCTGCACTGACTGCAAAAGTGGGAACTCTGTGGTCCCCAAGCGTGAATGAGTGTTAAGGTGAGGAATTGGATCATCCTGAGAGGGACTTCTCTTGATTACAGGCAACATTTGAATTCTCAAGACTGTTTAGGAGTGCTGAAAATCAGTCTTGTAGAACCACAGTTAATAACATGGGCGTCCTCCTCATCCCTGTGTCTTTTGAGATCATCAGCAAGGTGCTTTAGCTTGAACTTACTGTAAGAGAAGGCATAGTAATCATAGCCGTCAGGCTTGTTCTGGTTGGGGATGGAAAGAGTTGAGTGGATAACTTTGGGGAGGCCTCTCCAGTAGGTTGTCATTTGGATTTCCTTACGCAGAACTCCTGCAAGCAAAAGAAACCCTCAGTGAGGAGGCGTCAGTGTGTGCTGTAGCTGCCGTGTGCTTGTCCTCCGGAGCAGGAGCCTCTGCATTAAAAACATCTAAAAATACTGCATTTTAAAAAGGTGAAACAGAGCGTTGTTTCAGAACCTCCTAAGGGTGCAGCACTGTTTAACAGACCCTTAGTAACCGTGAGTTACCAGATGGGTGCGGGTTGACTCTGACGGTCCGGATGACGGTCGGCATTTGCACGGCACGCTGGAAGCGCCTCCGGATGACAACTCTTGGCACAAAAGCTGGGTATCTGATGGTAATCCGTGCTCTCCTCTGACACTTCTTGGCTGGTTCTTGTCTGTACACATACTGCTGCATGTTCCCATCTAAAAGAGGCATTTGTTTTCATTAGTTTAAAAAACAACATCCAACAGTCACTGATGAGATAGGAAGGTGTCATTGATATCCATCTTACACGCACAAAATCGATACCAAATAATGTTCTTATGTTGACAGTACAGCATTCACGTACAAGAAGGAAATGACATTAATTTAAAAAACAAAATAAGAAATAGGGACATTTCCATACATAGTTATGAACTAGTAAGAATAAAGCCTCCCCTCCTCTAATTAATTTGAGACTAAAATAGTTTTACTACCAGGTAAAACTTATTTTGATGTTTGGCCATTGCAGTACTGGATTCTCTCCTCTATAGACCTGTTTTAAAATGCACTGAAAGACCTGTAAGTATTAAGAAATATTTTTAAATCTTTAGGCTATTTTTGACCACCTGGAACACTGACATCACTTATGTTTATGGTTTTGAAAGAAATTGGACTTTGGGTCAAGAGAAATGATGTTTTATTCCTGACCAAGGTAATTCAAGCACCTTTTGGTGATGCCTGGACTTCAGAAATAGGAGACATACCTCTCTTGATGAAATAAACAGATTCTGGTCTGTTGTTGTATCTTGCCACGGGTAGTGTTGCTACTATTTTCCCACTTAGTCCTGCAAATCCATTGGCAAGAGGTTTGGGATAGCCTGGATCCATAACTCCATTAGTGAAACGCCAGTACAGGGGGCCCTGAGGATTCAAGGGGAAAATGAGCTTCAGAGGAAATTACTCTGTTATTGAACTTCAACACCAACCTAAAGAATAATCCATAAACAAACGGTAGGACTTTGATAGGTACATTATAAATCTGACTGGAATCGCTCCTGGATCCATTACAAACTCCCTGTCAGGGAGCTGCAGAGCCTGAAGGTCCCCCCTGAGTCCCCTCCTCTCCAGACTGAGC